CGGAACGGATTTTCCCTTTCGTTCCAACCTAAAGACACCCGAAGCGATTTTTCTCTTTCGTTCCAACCTAAAGACACCGGAGCCGATTTTTCTCTTTCGTTCCAACTAAGAGACACCGGAGCGGATTTATCTCTTTCGTCCAAACTGAGAGACACCGGAGCAGATTTATCTCTTTCGTTCGAACCAAAAGACACCGGAGCAGATTTCTTTCTTTCGTTCGAACCCAAAGACACTGGAGTGGATTTATCTCTTTCGTTCGAACTGACAGACACCGGAGCGGATTCGTCTCTGTCATCTGGCTCGTGGCGCTCCTGGATGGAGCTCATGAGCGGTTTGGGGAGGCTGTCATAGCGAACAGGCGACGGCTCGTGGTTGATATGCATAAACACCGGGCTACAGTTGCACGCCGGAAGCCATTGCACATCATCGGAGCCACGATCCATGGGTAAAAATGCCATCTGGACGCCCACCGGACGCAGCAGGCTATCGTAGGACAGGCTTCCCATCCGGCCGCTGAGGACACCCTGGGGAATTTCTGCACACTGTGATCCACGGAGGCTGGAGTGTTTGAGACTCAGCGAGCGTGAGTTCAGAGCCAGAGCATTTGCGTGATTCTCGGACGGCAGCAGGATGGGTTCAGACGCGTGTTCCTGGGGAACCTGCGGGGAAATCCTTGACCCCATCTACAGCGACAGACAGAGGAACATCTAGAAGAACATGCAGCCAGTTTCCAGGAAAACATCCAAAGCAAGGCATCTTTATGGCCCGTTCACACCAAGAAAAATAACTATAAAGATAACTATAACACTGCAAAAAATGATACACAGTAACCTCACATATATTATGTCAACAAAAACTTTTATTTTGGATGCGATTAATCGCGATTAATTGTTGCCCATCACTACACTGCAAAAAATGATTCTCTTACTTTTAGTATTTTTGTCTTGTTTTCTAGTATAAATACATAAACATTCTTGAATCAAGATGCATTTACTTGACAAGTAAAATGATTTAAGATATTAAGTCTTGTTTTCTAAAAAACATCAAAATTTTGTTAGTTTTTGCTTAAAACAAGCAAAAATATCTGCCAATGGGGTAAGAAAAATAATCTTAATTCAAAGGCTAAACAAGATTATTTTTCTATAGTATTTTTACTATACTGTCTTTATATATAGATAATAAATATACACAGTACACACACATATATTATATAAACAAACTTTTATTTTGGATGCGATTGCTATAAAGAAATTACTATAAATTACAGCACAACTATAAAGACAACTATATTAGCATCCACATCAGCAGACGATATCGTCTATTTATTCTGAGTGAACGCTTGCCTACCGCTTTAAATTCTCGAGCTCTTTATAGCAGGATGGATTCTGATTGGGTATCAATGCTTGTATCGTTAATCAGCTGGAAAAAAAAACGTTCTGAAAGTGATTCAAACGATATCATTTCTCTGTGCCTTTATCGTTTTAGCTGTAGTGTGGACTCTGCTATTCTTTAATATTGAGAAAGATTTTTAGAGCTATATCTTTATCAGTATCTTTATAGTTATCGTCCTTTGTGTGAACGGGCCTTAAGGCTGAATACACTACACAACTTTTAAAACACTAGGCATTTTAAAACACTAGGCATCATACACTTACCGACTTTGTAAATAGTGACAAAGGAAAACTGGACGTCATACAATACACAACTGAGGATCATACACTAGCAGACTTTGAAGTTGTTTCGATCACAACAAACTCAGGCAGAAGCTTGCGCCTTGTTGCTAGGAGACGATTGACAAATGTAAACAATATGTGTTCTAAAATCGGCTGAAAATATCAAACATGTTTGATATCCTCCGACTGGTTAGAATCAGAGTCTGAAGCAAAAAAAATCGGCGTCTGTGACCATCATACACTACGTGATTTCCTATGGAATCTGTCAACTCAAATCTGCAGACTGACTTTGACTTTTGGCAACTAGTGACAACTTCTCCAGACTGTAAATCGGTGGAAAATCGGGGCAAAAATCGTGTAGTGTATTACAGGTTTTAGAAGTCAAATTTATTTGTATAAAGCTTTTCACAATCCTTTCAAAGCAGCTTTACAGAATGTCATACAGTTATGTCTATAAAGCTTAGAGCTTTACCATACAGCCACATGATGGATTCCTCTGGACTTACACCTAGATTTATTGTATTTACAGTGTTGTCTAGCACATATTCACATACAGTTGAACAGTGACTCAAACACACATCTGAGCATTCAGAGGCAATTTAGAGATGTAAATTTAGATCGGTTTCGTTCGGTTAAGAGATTCAAACGTTGGTTGGTTTGGATCGGTTAAGAGATTTAAATGTTAAATTTTGTTCAATAAAGAGATTTAAACATTAGTCAGTTTTGTTCCATTAAAGAATTAAATGTGGTCTGTTTCATTCCATTACGAGAATTAAATGACATTCAGTTTCGTCGGTCGGTTTCGTTCTATTACAATAATTAAATGTCAGTCAGTTTCGTTCCATTACAAGAATTAAATGACGTTCAGTTTCGTCGGTAGGTTTCGTTCTATTACAAGAATTAAATGTCAGTCAGTTTTGTTCCATTACGATAATTAAATGACGTTCAGTTTCGTCGGTAGGTTTCGTTCTATTACAAGAATTAAATGTCAGTCAGTTTTGTTCCATTACGATAATTAAATGACGTTCAGTTTCGTCGGTAGGTTTCGTTCTATTACAAGAATTAAATGTCAGTCAGTTTTGTTCCATTATGATATTTAAATGTCGGTCGGTTTTCGTTCCATTACGAGATTTAAATGTCAGTCGGTTTTCGTTCCATTACGAGATTTATATGTTGGTCAGTTTTGTTCCACAGTTTCGTTCTGTGACGAGATTTAAATGACGTTCTATTACAAGAATTAAATTTAAATGTTGGTCGGTTTCGTTCAATTATGACATTTGTATGTTGACTGGTTTCATTCCATTAAGAGATTTAAACATCGGTCAGTTTTTTTGTTCTATTACGATAATTAAATGACGTTCAGTTTCGTCGGTAGGTTTCGTTCTATTACAAGAATTAAATGTCAGTCAGAGATTTATATGTTGGTCAGTTTTGTTCCACAGTTTCGTTCTGTGACTTAAATGTCGTTCTATTACAATAATTAAATGCCAGTCAGTTTCGTTCCATTATGAGAATTAAATGACATTCAGTTTCGTCGGTCGGTTTCGTTCTATTACAATAATTAAATGTCAGTCAGTTTCGTTCCATTACGAGAATTAAATGACATTCAGTTTCGTCGGTAGGTTTCGTTCTATTACAAGAATTAAATGTCAGTCAGTTTCGTCGGTCGGTTTTGTTCTATTACAATAATTAAATGTCAGTCAATTTCGTTCCATTACGAGAATTAAATGTCGGTCAGTTTTATTGGTCAGTTTTGTTCCATTACAAGAATTAAATGTCGTCAGTTTCGTTCCATTATGAGAATTTAAATGTTGGTCGGTTTCGTTCTATTACAAGAATTAAATGCCAGTCAGTTTCGTTCCATTACGAGAATTAAATGTCGGTCAGTTTTGTTCCACAGTTTCGTTCTGTGACTTAAATGTCGTTCTATTACAATAATTAAATGCCAGTCAGTTTCGTTCCATTATGAGAATTAAATGACATTCAGTTTCGTCGGTCGGTTTCGTTCTATTACAATAATTAAATGTCAGTCAGTTTCGTTCCATTACGAGAATTAAATGACGTTCAGTTTCGTCGGTAGGTTTCGTTCTATTACAAGAATTAAATGTCAGTCAGTTTTGTTCCATTATGATATTTAAATGTCGGTCGGTTTTCGTTCCATTACGAGATTTAAATGTCAGTCGGTTTTCGTTCCATTACGAGATTTATATGTTGGTCAGTTTTGTTCCACAGTTTCGTTCTGTGACGAGATTTAAATGACGTTCTATTACAAAAATTTAATTTAAATGTTGGTCGGTTTCGTTCAATTATGACATTTGTATGTTGACTGGTTTCATTCCATTAAGAGATTTAAACATCTGTCAGTTTTTTTCGATTCAAAGATTTAAGGTCTGTTTCTGATATTTAAATGTCGGTCTGTTTTCGTTCCATTACGAGATTTAAATGTCGGTCGGTTTTGTCGGTTTTGGAGATTTATATGTCAGTCGGTATTCGTTCTATTACGAGAATTTAAATGTCGGTCGGTTTCGTTCTGTGACGAGATTTAAATGTTGTCGGTTTTCGTTCCATTACGAGATTTAAATGTTGGTCAGTTACGAGATTTAAATGTCGATCAGTTTTGTTCTGTGATGAGATTTAAATGTCGGTCAGTTTCGTTCCATTACGAGAATTTAAATGTCAGTCGGTATTCGTTCTATTATGAGATTTAAATGTCGGTCGGTTTCGTTCCATTACGAGATTTAAATGTCCATTACGATAATTAAATGACGTTCAGTTTCGTCGGTAGGTTTCGTTCTATTACAAGAATTAAATGTCAGTCAGTTTTGTTCCATTACGATAATTAAATGACGTTCAGTTTCGTCGGTAGGTTTCGTTCTATTACAAGAATTAAATGTCAGTCAGTTTTGTTCCATTACGATAATTAAATGACGTTCAGTTTCGTCGGTAGGTTTCGTTCTATTACAAGAATTAAATGTCAGTCAGTTTTGTTCCATTACGATAATTAAATGACGTTCAGTTTCGTCGGTAGGTTTCGTTCTATTACAAGAATTAAATGTCAGTCAGTTTTGTTCCATTACGATAATTAAATGACGTTCAGTTTCGTCGGTAGGTTTCGTTCTATTACAAGAATTAAATGTCAGTCAGTTTTGTTCCATTACGATAATTAAATGACGTTCAGTTTCGTCGGTAGGTTTCGTTCTATTACAAGAATTAAATGTCAGTCAGTTTTGTTCCATTACGATAATTAAATGACGTTCAGTTTCGTCGGTAGGTTTCGTTCTATTACAAGAATTAAATGTCAGTCAGTTTCGTCGGTCGGTTTTGTTCTATTACAATAATTAAATGTCAGTCAGTTTCGTTCCATTACGAGAATTAAATGACATTCAGTTTCGTCGGTAGGTTTCGTTCTATTACAAGAATTAAATGTCAGTCAGTTTCGTCGGTCGGTTTTGTTCTATTACAATAATTAAATGTCAGTCAATTTCGTTCCATTACGAGAATTAAATGTCGGTCAGTTTTATTGGTCAGTTTTGTTCCATTACAAGAATTAAATGTCGTCAGTTTCGTTCCATTATGAGAATTTAAATGTTGGTCGGTTTCGTTCTATTACAAGAATTAAATGCCAGTCAGTTTCGTTCCATTACGAGAATTAAATGTCGGTCAGTTTTGTTCCACAGTTTCGTTCTGTGACGAGATTTAAATGACGTTCTATTACAAGAATTAAATTTAAATGTTGGTCGGTTTCGTTCAATTATGACATTTGTATGTTGACTGGTTTCATTCCATTAAGAGATTTAAACATCTGTCAGTTTTTTTCGATTCAAAGATTTAAATGTCGGTCTGTTTCGTTCTATTATGATATTTAAATGTCGGTCGGTTTTCGTTCCATTACGAGATTTAAATGTCGGTCGGTTTTGTTCTATTACGAGATTTATATGTCAGTCGGTATTCGTTCTATTACGAGAATTTAAATGTCGGTCGGTTTCGTTCTGTGACGAGATTTAAATGTTGTCGGTTTTCGTTCCATTACGAGATTTAAATGTTGGTCAGTTACGAGATTTAAATGTCGATCAGTTTTGTTCTACAACAACTATATAGATTTATATTTAAAAACTCAACAATAAAAATGATAAAAACACACAAAATTACTAAAACTTTCACTAAAATTAAAATGTAAAGAGAAAATATAAAAATAAAATGCAAAATATTGAAACAATCTATAATATTATCCCAGTTATACTAAAATAACACCGGTACAAACTACTCATGATTTAAATGTAGTCAAGTTAAATGAAGCTATTTAAGCTGTCAATATCTCTTTAAATATAGCGATTCTATTTTTTTTAATCAGAGCAGTATTTATTTGTCACCAAAACCTGATGTATATAAAACTCATTTAACTAAATAGTTTGCTATAAAAAAAGAGAACAAAATGAAGCATACAGACTCAGTGAATCATTTTGAATCATCCAAATGACACGATAAAATGAATCAGAATCGCTTCAGAAAGAAACCATAAAACCTGTTTAAAAATAGTTACTGGATCGCTGCTGGATTATGACCGATATATTACCATTATGCTGAAAACATTCGAAAAATAATCTTTAGGCTTCAGTGTGTTAGTAAATTGACAGTTTCTTTATCCATATAGCTGAGTGGTTTTATAAAGCACAGCTGAAGAGTAATGCTGCTGAATGCAGGTCAGGTTTGATGTTTAACCTTATTCATTTATTCACAGCCTTGATGCACCACAAATTAAGTATTTATGGACATAAGTACCTTGTCAGGGAGTATTTGAAGGCTCAGTTTGTGGGACTCTGGGTGATGGAAAGGAGGCTGAATGCGAAGCGGCAATCTGTCACTGAGTTTCCCAGTGTACCTGATATTTAAAGAGCAAAATTAACATCAAAAATTAACATTCTGTCATCATTTACTCACCCTGCATGCTGTTAGTTTATCAGGAAGAACTAGGTTTTGCCATCCTTGATGTTTGATTCACAAGAAAATGCAGGAAGAATATGATAAAAATGGTTAACTTTGGATAAAAGCGTCTCCTAAATGCATAAATTATGATAACTTTTGGGTATTTTCTGTCATATTTAAAGCTTGAGAGTTGTAACTATGAGATATTGTTGCATGGAGCAAAATTTCTCTTTTGAGTTCTTCAGAAAAAAATGCTTACATTTTTATGATATGATGGTCAAAGTCCTGAAGAGATTACATATTGAAAATATAAATATAAAAAAAAACTATGTAAAAATTGTATTCAGTGTGCATTAAAATAACTTTAAATTAGTGCTGTCAAACGATTAATCGCGATTAATCGCATCCAAAATAAAAGTTTTTGTTTACATTATATATGTATGTGTACTGTGTATAGCCTATTTATTCTGTATATATAAACACACACACATACAGTATATATTTTAAAGATATTTACGTTTATACATTTATATATTCATATTCTTATATTTTAGATTATATATAAAATATATAAACATAACATATTTTTCTTAAATATATACATGCATGTGTTTGTATTTATATATACATATAAGTATAAAATGTATTTGAAACTAAACGCCTGAGATCGCTGACAATTTTAGAGTACATGCATATAACATGTATTTCTCTGACACCAAACTTCTGCGATCGCTGACAGGTGTCTAATAAATATACACAGTACACATACATATAACCTATTATGTAAACAAAAACTTTTATTTTGGATGCGATTAATCGCGATTAATTATTTGACAGCACTACTTTAATTTATTAAAATTGTTTCCAAGAAAATGCATGAATAACATGATTAAATGTATACCTTTGGATAAAAGCATCTTCCAAATGCATGAATTATTGTTGCATGGAACGTCTGAACTTTTGGGTGCCTTCTGTCATATTTAAAGCTCGAGATGTCATAACTATGAGCTATTGTTGCATGCAATTGTAAAATTTCTCTTTTTGTGTTCCACAGAAATAATAACAGCATACGGGTTTGCAACAACATCACGATTTTGATTGTGATGTAGGTGATTGTTTCACACGTGTAGACGCGCGCTCACCTCGGCGTGATGGGACTGAAGAGCACAAACTGCACGTTCTGACAGCAGCCGCGCGAGAACGGATTCACTCCTCCCTGGAACTTCCCCGTCACCTGTGAGTGTGACGCAGTTTAGTGAGAATAAATTCAGCTTCCAGCAGAATCTGATGCAGGTCAAACATGATCTTACCTGTTCGTTTGTGGTGCGTCCTCTCGCCACCAGCACCAGATGAAAACATGACAGACCCAAGACGGGAATGAAGAACAGAGCCGAAACGCTCATGACCGCCAGCCTTTAAAACACACTGTCAAGGTACTCACCCACTGCTTTACACAAGCAAAAAAACAAATCTGAGAAAAAAACTTAACCTAAACAGTAATATATATATATATAAAAAAATAAAAAAAATGGCTAAAAATTCAACAAAAACTGAAGACAAACACTAAAGCTGAAATAAAAATAAATGAATCCTAAGTTGTAATCATAAAAAAAAAAAAAGTGCTATAAATTAAACTAAAATTATAAACCAAAACTAAAAATGAACTAAAACTAAAACTGCAATAAAAATAAATTATTCCTAAATAGGAATATATTAAAAAAATAAAAATGACAAAAGCACATAAAATTACTGAAAATTAAACTAAAACTTAAAACTAAAACTAAAACAATACTAAATGAATTCTAAACTGTAATTCATTCCAGGGGTCTCCAACCTTTTTGTGAGTGAGGGCTCCCTGTCTCAAGGTCTCAATCGTCTCAAGGGCTACTTGTTTGATATACTCCAATACATATATATATATATATATATATATTTTATAATTGTTTTCACTCTAATA